TCCAAGGATTTTTAACGAAAAGAAGCAAGCCAACGACTTTTGAAACAAAATGAAAAAAAGTGTTTCGTTCCAAGTTTTATAGTTTTTGCTTTTTAAAAAAAATGACGTTGGAAGAAAATGAAAAAATTGGAAAATTCAAGGCAACTTTTGTTTCGTTTCAAATCTTTCCGTTTTTTTGATGGAACAAACCAACCAACCAAACAAAAAATTAAGAAATAAAACAAAAACTGTTGCCCACATTTTCACACAAAATTTGTGATTAGTTTGAAAAGCCATTTTTTTTCATTTAAAAAATGTTTCTATCTAAAATTTTCAGCCAGCTCTGGATTGGTATTTTCTGATGGGGTTGGTCACGTTTTTTGCTGTTTGTAAGGGTGTTTGAACAATTGTAACATATTCATTGAAATATCAAGAAATCAGAAATTTCAGCGTGCATGGTCATTCCACCAAATACGCAGAGCAGAAACAGTTGTTTGTTAAACTCCTGTTTAAAAAAATTCAGTTATCCAATCAGCTAGCTGCAACTGTCACAACACCATGTGACTCAGGCTGACCATCCATGAACCGTGACTACAAATGATCGTTCATCCAGATATTTGGACCAGAAACCATATTAATCATTAGTTGAAAATTCAGAGAAACAAGGTGGGTGAGGTAATATCTTCTGCTGGTGAGAGAGACAAGCTTTCGAGCATACACAGAGCATTTCTTCAGCTCTGCCAATAAAAGATATTACCTCACCCTCCTTGTCTCCTTAATATCCTGGGACCAACACAGCGACAACAACACGCGTTGCAGATTTGTTATGCTGCTGTTTAAAAAACTTCAGTCAGCCAATCAGGGAGGAGAGATGACACCATGTGACACAGGCTGACCAGTCACATTCCTTGAATTAAAAATAAGTGACTAGTTATAGGGCTCAATCCGACAAGATGCTGAATGCACAGGGCAAAGCCCTTTAGAGTACGCTGAACTTTAAACATGTGAGCTGTTAGAGTTGATATGACGATCCCTCAGCACAGGGACAAGATAACCAGAACTGCCTCCTGAGCTTCCCCAGAATGAGAGCCACAAAGGTGGCTTACGGCCATCTTTACCCCTTCCTCCTCACTCTACATGGGGCACAACTCAGAATCAGAGTCATAAAAGCCAAGATTTTCTCCGGTGATGAGGTCAGCTTGGCATGGAGGACAGGCCAGTGAGAGTGCTGGTTACAGCTTCCTGTATCTCAAGCTGCTCCAGGCCATGCTAAGTTAGAACAGCCTTGGGGCTGCTCTCACTTATACCGGTTGACTGTGGTTCCCCAGAGGTCGGTTGAAAACTGGCAGAGCACTTGTTTGACCCCACACCGAACAGGTCCCCTCCCATTCTTGACATCCCCCTCAAAAGATCTCCCCTACATCAGGCTAGGGCAGGGGCAGTTCGTTCAAAGTCAGATATGCCATTTTACCCCAGCTAAGAGCTTCCTATTTGGGGGATTGTCACAGGGTAACTGGTCCCTGTGGATTGACTAGGCCCAACTCCCCTGGCCCAGAGCTGGTGAGTCTGATCCAGGACTGGACTACACCTGGGCCATATAAAGGGTGATGAGTGGGCAAGTGGAGGAGGGATTGATGGAGACACGCTATGCCTGGGGAGGGAAAATCACAGCTGAATGGTGCTAACTCCTGTGGGGGGTCCCTGGAGCAAGGGGGGTCAGGTGGTCAGAGAGACAGCCCTGGGACTGCTGCCCCAGAGAAGAAGCCCAACTGGGAAGCTGCTGCAGAGCTGAAAACTGAAAGTAAGGACTGAGTTAAAAGACTGATTTTCTTAACAGAAGCTAGCAAACAAAGAGAAAAACAATCTCCTTGCAGAAGGCTGAGCGTGGCAGTGTATATTTTGAAGCAGGGAAGAAGCCCAGCCAAGTGAGAGGGATATTCAGTTAGGTGCAGATTCTGCCAGCTAAGTGGTGAAAAGTGGCCAAAACAGGAGGAGAGATTCTGGCCCAAATCTTTCACGTATGTTTGCAATCAATTAATTTTTTTTTACAAGACTATCATTGTCACGTACCTCTCAATCATGCTTTAGTGATAAATTGGAGAATTGCCAAACTGGGTTTTTAATAAGATTAGCACAAACAGCTGTGTTCCCTCACCAGTTCCTGATACTGATTTGATATGACTAGAATTCCCATGCCTCTGGCAGAAAAAGATGATCATCTTTAAGACACGCAGGGTGACCGCAGTGCAGAGCGTTCTGCACGTAGGCGATATGACAAGATCAAAGACTGACAATTGCATGTAGAGAAAGTCATTAGAGCTGTACGTTTGTTCATACTGTGACAGCTCCTAAAATTGCTTCCTTACCAGGAGAATAAGGCAAATTATTTCCATTGTTCACTTTCAGTGATGAGGTGCATCAGAGTCCGTGCTATTAAAGAACAAATGTAAGTAAAGCTTCTCAGAAATTTTCCAGTGTAAGGTTTTTCTGTTGGAAAATCCTGATTCATCTAAAGTGACACCTTTTGCAGAAAGTGGGAAATAAATGAAAGAAAGCCTTTAAATAAGCTTGTTCCATTTCGACATTATTGGACCGCAACATTTCTATTTTTCATTTCAAATGTTCTTTTATATTATAAAACATTCATAAGGATTTAAAAAAGGTTGAAATTGGAACAAAACATCTTGATTTTCTTGAAGCAAAGTGTGTTGATGAGTTTGTTTTTCAGAATTTTGTTTCATGAGAAGTTTCAAATTTTTGTTCCATTTCAGTCCTGAGGAAAAAAATTGGAAATCAAGGAATATCATAGTGAAAAGAAAATCTGGTTCCCATCCAGCTCAAAATGCAAGATGTATTAAACATAAGATCTATTAAATAATAATAAAAAATCCAGCATTACTTAGACTGTAAACTCTTTGGGAAATTGACCATCATTTTGTTCTGTATTTGTACAGTGCCTAGCACACTGGGGTCCTGCTGCATGACTGGGGCTCTGAGCTGCTACCATAATAATAATAGTAACAACCTATGTTTACATAGAATATTTTCCAAAACTGTTTGGAAAACCAACATTTTCCTTCAAAATCTCCCCCCTCTCCCAGTTTCTGTAGGATCTATCAAAACACAACATAAACTTTCATGTGATTTAAAAATGTTGATTTGAAATTAAATGAAAAATTTCATTTTGTTCAAACGTAAAATGTCATTTTGGTTTGTAGAAATGACAATTTCAGATTTCCATTTGCAGTTCTGTAGGATTTCATAGAATATCAGGGTTGGAAGGGACCTCAGGAGGTCATCTAGTCCAACCCCCTGCTCAAAGCAGGACCAATCCCCAATTTTTGCCCCAGATCCCTAAATGGCCCCCTCAAGGATTGAACTCACAACCCTGGGTTTGTACTTTCCCCTACCCCCTTTTTTCTCCATTTTTTTCACTAGAAAAAGTGAGAGACAGTGCAAAAAAATTCACACTCGCTGAGTGGTTTTGCATTTTTGCAATTGGAAAATTTCCAGTGGAAAATAGGAAATTTAGACAGAACCATATTTTCAGGTGGGAAAAATTTTTCAACTGACCATACTGAATATCTTAGGAAAGTATTCCCCAAACTTCTGAAAGCTGAGCCGTCTTTCATGATAATGACACCAGTTGCGATTCCACCTGCAGCCCTTCCATGTGTCTTACCTGCCCTAACTGATACAATTTCCATGCCCTGCCAATTAGTCACTTTGTGGAAAGCTGGGGTAGAGCTTCATAATCCGAGCTTTCCTCTCCTTTCCTATGTGCGTTGACGACAGTGACAAACTTAACAATGTTAACTTTGCAACATCATCATTGGCATCTGACTTAGGCCTGCCTACACCAAAATATTAGATCTGCCCAACTACATGGATTAGGGATGTGAAATATTTTGCACCCTGTTTTATGTAGCTAGGTTGACTGTAGATGTTGTAGATGTTATCTGTAGATGCTGTAGAATTCTTCGGTCAACCAAGCTACCATCTCTCAGAGAGGTGGATTACCTACATCAATGGAAAAACCCCTTCCGTTGATGCAGGAAGTGTCTACGCTACCGTGACACAACCACAGTGCCATAGCTTTGTGCCTGTAGCCTAGACATAGCCTCTGTCTGAAGGCTGCCTTCTTGATTGACACATCAGGGATTGAATGGGGGACCTCCAGAGCTAAAAGCATGAGCTGCTCCATCTCCTTAGACAGGGGTAGTAACAGACTCATATCCTCTGTGGATTGGACACAAAGTAGGGTCTGGAACATGCACTCATCAATGGGTTATTTTCTGGGTACAAAGGAAGCATCAGAGGTTCACATCAGGTCTATCTTAGATAATTATGTTGCCCCGCCCCTTACAGTAGTATCTGAGCACCTCTCAATCTTTAATGTATTTATCCTCACACGCCCCTATGAGGTATGAGGTACTATTATCTGCATTGCATAGATGAGGCTCAGAAGGAGGGTCAATGACTTGCCCCGGTCACATGGGAATTCTGTGGTAGAGCTGGGACTTGAGCCCAGGTCTCCCAAATGGCAGGTGAATGCCCTAACCACTGGACCATCCTTCCTCAAATCCCAGAAAAGCTTCTACTTGTTTAATGTGCATCATTTAGTGAAAGAGGCAGTCGCTCACGATTTTAGCTCTGGCGGTCGCTGGTCCAACCCCGGTGTGTTGGCCAACCTGGGGACTGTCACACAGTGCTTATTTTACCATCAAAACACCCATCCACCCTGGAAAGAAAATCATTTTTGTGCCGGGGGTGTGTTTAGCTGAAGTTAAGTGTTTAGCGGGTTGGAATAAAGAATGGGCTTCCTGCCAGGCAAACCAAGCCCATGAATAGCTGAGATTGTTTTCTTTACACCTGCTCTTCCAACCCCAGCTCAAAGACATATAAAGGAGGATGGAGCAGCTGTCGTGTCAGAAGGGCTCCTACTCCTGTCCCAGCTCTGTTCTGTTCTCATGCTGCAGCTTTGTTCATAGTGCTGCAGAGTCCTCTTGGAACAAGCCACCATGAGTCGGCAACTGAACGCCAGAGTGGGAGGTTGCAGCAGGGGCTTCGGCAGTGTCTCTGCGATTGTTTCCAGTGGGGGCAGATCCAGCTGCACCTCTCTGAGCCGAGGACGAAGTAGACACTGTGTCTTTGGCAGCAGAAGTCTCTACAATCTTGGCGGGATTAAAAGCATTTCCAATAGCTTGATTGGTGGAGGCTGGAGGCTCGGCGGTGGCTTTGGTGGTGGATTTGGCACTAGTGGTGGGGCTGGTGGCTTTGGTGGTGGTGGGTTGTTCGGTGGAGGACTTGGTGGGAGGAGTAACCCTGGGTTCCCCTTTTGTCCTCCTGGTGGCATCCAAGAGGTGACCATCAACCAGAACCTACTGGTGCCACTCAACTTGGAGATCGACCCGGAGATCCAGAAAGTGCGAGTGCAGGAGAAGGAGCAGATTAAGACCCTCAACAACAAGTTTGCCTCCTTCATCGACAAGGTGGGCCCGGTCGTTTATTAATTATTTTAATAGCTGTCATCATCAGCGCAGATTCAGCAAAGCATCCATAGTCGTGATAACACTTTAGCCTGGGCCTAAATTTAAGCATGTGCCCAAGTCCCGCTGAAATAATCATCATCGTTATTCCGCTTCTAAGGACAGCTAGAGAGGTGTGTAGGGGGATACACAGATCCATCAATTGGTTGATCAATAGTGGAGTGTGTAGGGGGTAGATTGATAAATAAACAGATCTGATCTTTTTTCTTTCCGTTGCATTGAAAATAGAAAATGACCAAATCCTGTTTAAGGCTAACCAAGATTTCCCTGATGCTGGAATGGGAGATGAGCAGGTTGCTAGGGTAACTGACCTGCCAGTGCTCCGGAGTATCGTCTCCAACGTCTGGCACCTCTTTTCTCTGTTTGGACCTCAGGTCCGATTCTTGGAGCAACAGAATAAAGTTCTGGAGACCAAATGGAACCTGCTGCGGCAGCAGCCCACGTCAAATGCTGGGAACAACCTGGAGCCCGTCTTTGAGGCCTATGTTGGCAGCCTAAAGAAGCAGCTTGATGGTCTGGTGGGAGAGAGGGGAAGACAGGACTCAGAACTGAAGAACATGCAGGATCTGGTGGACGACTTGAAGCACAAGTATGTGAAGAAAGCACTGGGTCACATTCATGTTCTCCATGGACTAAGGGCCAGGTTTTTAGTGGTATTTAGCCTCCTGAAGATGCAGAAAGGCACCGAGTGGGATTTTCAAAAGCACCTAGGTGCCCAGTTCTCGACATGCTTTTGAAAATTCCACTAGGTGTTTGTGACAGAGCTGCCACTGAGCGCCCCCTCATGGCCAGAGGTCCCCCTGCAGCACAGTCTCTCTACTGTCCGTCTTCGGGCCCCCTGATGAGCTCCACATAGTCTCTCTTGTGAGTAGTAGCAACCTCTACTTGGGGCTGGTTTAATGATTGCAGACGGTTCCACATAGTCCTTAGTGTCTCAAAAATAAAATCCAGCATTGCAACCCTAGGGGTTCACTCCAATCTCTGGCTTTTCTGCCCACCACTGTGGAGCTCTTCTCCTGCCAGCATCTGGTCTTCGCAGGGTTGCCACTCGTAGCTGTTTCTAGCTGGAGCTCAGCCTTCTGGATCTAGCTTCCTTCTCCTACCGGCCTCTCCCCTGTTCTGAGGGAGAAGACTGTCTATATACTGGCCTCCTCCAGAGAAATCCTCTTGATTGGCTGGAAGAGAGGAGAGCCCTGGCTCATCCTAGACTGCAGGGCTCCTGGTCCTGGGTCCTTAAAGGAACAGTGTCCTGTTCCCCTCCTCCCCCATCCAACTGCTAATTTCCTGGGACCAGTGTTTCCCAAACTTGGGACACTGCTTGTTCAGGGAAAGCCCCTTGCGGGCCGGGCCAGTTTGTTTACCTGCCACGTCCGCAGGTTCAGCCGCCCGCAGCCCCCATTGGCTGGGCACAGCAAACCGCAACCAGTAGGAGCCATGATCGGCCGAACCTACAGACGCGGCAGGTAAACAAACCGGCCCAGCCCGCCAGGGGCTTTCCCTGAACAAGCGGTGTCCCAAGTTTGGGAAACACTGCCTGGGACCATTACTACTTTTCCACGGCAAGGCCATTTCCAGTGTTTTTATTCATTCCCGCTTTCTGGAATGGGGTCTTCTGGCCCCTTATATATTTAAGGGCCAGTATACCCTGTTTGTGTCTGTCTACAGCTTTCGATTCCTAAACACCTTTAAAACTCTGGTCCTTTTATTCTGCATAACAATTAGGCTGGGAAGGATTAGATTTTTGTCTGCCAATGTTGGTACACGTTGATTTCACTGTATACGCACAAGCCAATGAAAAAAATTTCAACCGTTGTTAATCAGAATATATTGACAGGCAAAATAAGAAAACTGCTGCTTGAGAATTTATAACATTTAAATTGACAACAAAATCGGAAAAAAAAGGTTAAAAATAAACATCAATGTTATCCGTCGAAACGATAAAACCATAAGCATTGAATTCTGCCAGGCCTAATATTAATTCTGGGTGGTGCTTTGCAGGAAGTCCCTGGACACGGTGCAGCATTTAACAATGCTGCGAATGCTGGATGAGAGATTTTTAACCTGAGCGAGTGCAAAAGGGTGCCGGGTGGGATTTTCGGAAGCCCTGAGCATTGGCCTAACTCTACTCCCATTGACATTGCTGGGAAAATGGGAGCAGTGTTACGCCAGCAACGAATGATTTCGGAAGTCCCACCCAGCACGTCTACCAAGGCAGGGAGAGCGCAGGAACTGCAAGCAGTGCTGATTGGAAAAACATCATCGAAACAGGAAAATTGCCCAAACTAATTTTGCGTGTGTTGTGTATGTGAAATTGTATCAAAATGTTGACAAAAATTCCCGTACAGGGGAAAATATTGAAACAAAAAGATTTGTATCCGAAAGTTTTCATTCTGAATTTTATTTTACATTGTAGCTTACCTGGTTGTGGTATTTTTGTGACTTTTATGTTATCTGGGACATGTCAGTACCAGTGCTGCATATTGTCTTCTGTCCTGATAGATACAAAGAGGAAATCAACAGACGCATGGCAGCGGAGAATGAGTTTGTGCTGCTGAAGAAGGTGAGCATCACCTTATCAGAGATTAAGGGATGGTTGTCTCTGCTCCACTCTGATGGGTGCTAATTGGAGCATGTGCCTTGGTCCAGTAGTTAGGGCTCTGGGCTAGGATTCAGAATACCTGGGTTCTCCTCCTGGCTGTGACCTTGGGCGAGTCATTTTCTGCCTCTGTTTCCTCTCCTGTGTCTGTCTTGTCTATTTAGTTTGCAAGCTACCAGGGGCAGGGACACTGTCTCACTAGGTGTTTGTACAGCACCTAGCACGATGGGGTCCTGATTCAGCAGGATAATTTGTGATGTGTTGAAAACTGTGTTAAAATGACATGCTATCCCTTTAAGTGTGATGGATTTCCTGATCCTGCTTGCAGGCTAGGGGGCTTTGTAGGAAAGCGTGCGATCTGGGCTTTGAGCAATCATTCTGCAAAGAATCGGCCTTCAGCAAGGTGACCCAGGCCTCTCCTTGTTAGGGAGCAGCTGGATTTGTCTCTCTTTGTCTTTGGTTCTTGTGTGTTAGGATTCTGGATTCTAAGAAACAAAGTAGTGCAACCTTCCAGAAAAGGTGTTTTATGTTCTTTATCTAACTTCTCTGTGTGTATGCCATGAACATAACAATAATGTTGGCACGGGGCATGCATGGGGAAGAGGAGATAGTACAAAAATAAGAACAAATAAAACAAAGGAAACCTTGGACCGTTCGTAAGAAGGGAAGTGGCTTTAAAGATATGCTATTAGGAAAAGGCTTGGCCATTGGCATAAGTTGAAGGCAATGCAGTCTAGTGGTTAAAGCAAGAGACTGGGAGCCAGGGCATCTGAATGCCACTGGCATGCTGAGTAACTTTGGGCAAGTTGCTTTCCTGCTGTGTGCCTCAGTTTCCCCATTTGTAAGAGGCAGACAATACTGACCTACCTAACTGGGACAGAAGGTCATGAAATTTATTTAATAAATGTTTATAAATTTTGGGTGAGAGACTTTAGAAATGTATAAAATACACAATAGAATCCTGGTTTGATTTTATTTAAACTGTTTGTATTTCTAAGAGTGGGATTCCCAGGCAAGTCTATAGGAATGCAGGTATATGTGCAAATAGACAGACAGGTGACGATTATATACAGATAGTCACACAGCTGGAAAGGACTGAGTTGTTAAATTTCAGCTAGCATACAACTGGAAGGCAACATTGGAATACAACATTATGTATTTCAGCGTTAGGGCCAGATGCATCTATACTAGAGTGGGTTAGAAACTAGGTATTTTTTCCCATGGAAAATTGCTACTTTTTGGCAAAATATTGAAAACTGGAATCTTTTGGCTAAAAAAGCAAAATAATTTGATTCAAAATGGTGCTATGGGGTCACATTGGAGATGTCGTTCAGGTGCCTTATGCTCACTTTCTCCTCTTCTGTGGGTAGGGTTGCCAACTTTCTAACTGCCGAAAACCGAACACCCTTGCCCCGGCCCCTGCCCCTTCCATTCCCTGAGGCCCTGCCCCTCGCTCACTCCATCCCCCCTCCCTTGGTTGCTCGCTCTCCCTCACCCTCACTCCCTTGCTCATTTTCACCAGGCTGGGGCAGGGGGTTGGGGTGCTGGAGCGGGTGAGGGCTCCGGCTGGGAGTGCGGGTTCTGGGGTGAGGCAGGGGATGAGGGGTTTGGGGTATAGGAGGGGGCTCAGGTCTGGGGCAGGGGGTTGGGGCACGGGAGGGGGTGAGGACTGCAGGCTCCGGGCGGCGCTTACCTCAGGTAACTCCTGGAAAACGACCAGCATGTCCCTTCGGCTCCTAGGTGGAGGGGCCACGGGGTTCTGCTCACCACCCCACAGCTCCCATTGGCCTCAGTTCCTGGCCAGTGGGAGCTGTGGAGCCAACGCTTGGAACGGAGGCAGCGTGCGGAGCCCCTGTGGCCATCCCTACGCCTAGGAGCTGGAGGGACATGCCGGCCACTTCCCAGGGGGCGCATGGAGCCGGGTATGGAAGGGTAAGGCACTTGAGCTACGACTCCCAGTGTGAATTGAAATATTTTGGGTTCAGTCAAAAATATTTCAATTTTCAGCCATTGGGTACTGTGACAAAATTATCAATATTTTCTGTGGAAAGCAGACACTTTTCATGAAAAATTTAGTTTAGCCAAAAACACGATGTTCAATCAAAACGCAGTTTGGGCAAAAAAGTTTTGGCCAGTCCTAATCTCTATCCTCTGGCTGCTTTGCACATTGCTCTGATAATGCAAAGTGGCCACAAATCTGGATTAACTGGCTAAGTGGAGCTGACAGCTGCTTTGCACTGGGCTATTCCAACGCTTTCTGGCCCTGAAAGCGCAGAGTTACTCGGTATCGGTTGACACACAAGCAACAGGTGTTTTGGATGCAGCAAAGTCAACCTATCTAGAATATGGAATACATTTCCCAGTCTGACCGACACTGGGGAAGATTCTCTCCACATGGCACTTTATAGTACCAGGGGGTATGATTGCTCTCTATAAATGCACCAGAGACCTAAACACCAGGGCGGGAGAAGAGCTATTTAAGCTAATGGACAATGTTGGCACAAGAAAAAATGGGTGTAAAGTGGTCAGGAATAAATTGAGGCTGGAAGTTAGAAGATGTTTCTAACCATGAGAAGAGGGAGTTCTGGAACAGCCTCCCAGTAGGAGTAGTGGAGGAAACAGTCTAACTAATTTTTAGATGAATTAGATATAATTCATATATTATAATGACTAGGGTGACCTGCAATCATAGGAGATTGGCCTCAATGACCCGGGAGGTCCCTTCCAGTCCTGTGTCCTTGTATCAAAGCTGGGCCCCCAGGGGACACAGCTGACTGTCACCTCGCTGTTCCTACCTGCTGTGTCCCTATGAAACAACTGAGCTGGAGAGATGATGAAACCTGAAGTTACATCAGGGAGGGCTTCCCTGGGCCTGACTGGAGGAACACCGCACACTGATTGGTCAGGGCTTGCTATTTAAACCCAAAGAGAGGTGCAGGAAGTTGTCTGCAAAACTGGGCTCTGCCTGACTGCTACACTGGATCCTGCCTTCTTGCCTGACTCCTTAACCATGCTTTCCTGACCTGTTCCTGGTTACTGCCCTCCTGGTCTGTGACTCCAGTGCTGACTCTTGGCTTGACTCTGTCTCCTGCTCCAACCACTAGACCTGGCTGCCTATGCCCTGGCCCCGAAGTATCTTGCCTACTGTGCAAGGCCCGCGTGAAACTCTGTTGTTCTGACCTGTTGGTGTTTTGCATCCACTTTCCATTTACTTTGTACTAGTGGAAATTACCACACCAGGAGCAAGGCAAAGGGAAATCAGGCCTTCCTGTTCTCGAAACTGTCCCCTGAGCTTGAAAGAATGATCTCCATTGCCATTTTTCAGGACTTGGATGCTGCCTACATGAAAAAGGTGGAGATGGAGGCCAAGGTGGCTGCCATGACAGATGAAATCAACTTTCTGAGAGCCCTGTATGAGGCGGTGAGGATGTTCTCTGTTCTTCCTAATTCACACAGAGATGCCCCACATCATATTTAGCACTTTTCTAGGACACCTTAAATGTTTACATATGTCTTATACCTGTCACCAGAAACATTGCAGGGATGGAATTTCTAAGCAAGCTCCTGAGTGCTTCCAGAAAACTTACAAACATGGCAGGATGGCCCAACGCTAAGGAACGGAAAGGTCTAAATAGCAGGAGAAGTTGGAGGACAGTAGAATAGTTGCCCAAAGATCCAACACTCAATGCCACATTCTCCACTGACCTGCATCTTGTATATACACCAGTGCAAAAATGAGAGCAAATGATACTGAATCTAAAAGGCAGAAATCTACATCTATTTTACCCTCACTACGCTGGTGTGAATGAGGCAAGGGGTGCTGGAACAATTTTTATAGTGGGGATGCTGAGAGTCATGGAACCAAACTGTAAACCCTGTATATAATGGAAACCACTAGGCAGCACCCCTAATTCCAACACCTATGATGCAAGGTGCCAGGACAAAACTGAGAATCTGATCCTGATGTTCTTAGCAAGAACACGACTCTGTTCCCACTGATGTCAGTGACAAAACTCCAGTTGATGTCAGGGTTAGACTCTCGGTACGCACCCAGGTAAAACTCATACAGAGTACAAAGAGAATTCCACTGGTGGAAGAACTTCAGGGTGGGGCTCCCTCAGGAAGAACATCACTGCAGAGGTTCTATAGTCCTTTAGATAAGACATAAGAGTTTTGGAAGAGCTAAAAATCCATGCTTCAGAGCAATCCCTGTTAAGAATCAGGCTGAGACCATCATGGAGAGCAGACTCTCCCTCGCCTGCCTATTGTCAGGGCCGGCTCCAAGCACCAGCATTCCAAGCAGACGCTTGGGGCGGCAATCTGCAAGGGGCAGCAGTCCGTGTGCCGTTAGGGCGTTTCCGCAGTGGCAGCAATCCGGCGGCAGCACCCATCTTGTCAGCTGCTCGAGGTGGCGGCAATTCGGCGCGCTGCTTGGGGTGGCAACACCGGTAGAGCCGGCCCTGCCTATTGTAGTGTTCTTGCACTTTCCTCCAGGGCAGCTGGTGTTGACCACTGTCCGAAACAGGATGCTGGATTAGATGGACCTTGCATCCGGTCCAGTCTGGCAATTCCTATGTTCCCAATGTAACCCAGTGGTGAGTGTGTGTTACAAGTCCCCCTAATTCCCAGAGAATATGAGCTGTTACAGCCCCTTCCCTACTCTGCAGCTATAGCTCAAGCTGTAGCTGTTCATACTTAAAGCTCCAGAGGTCATCGATTCATTCCCTGATGTTGGTCAAGAGGTTGCTTGTAATGGTAAGACATACCTGAGAATAATACCCTGCAGGCTAGATGATATATGCAAGGAAATAATGACAGATACAAGTGACCAGCCTGGTAGATGTGGGCTTTTGGAGACCAACTACCTATAAAAAATATACACCCATGAAAATTCTGCATAGAGTTAGTCTGATGGGTAAACTCTGGGACAAAACTACAAGTTCTTATTCGGGCAGAACAACCATTAATGTCAGTGGGCGTTTGAATAAGACATGAGTAAAGGAGGGTAAGGGCGGTGAGGTCATTCCTTGTGGCTCAGTACAACATCTAACCATATGAGTCATTTCCCCTCATTTTTATTTTCAGTAGCTAGTTAAATAAGTTGGGGGTTGGACTAGATGACCTCCTGAGGTCCCTTCCATCCCTGATAGTCTATGAAGTACGTACATATGGGATCGCGAGCTAGCTAGAAAGACAGCGATAAGAGTTGGGGGAAGAAATACATAGAGAATGATAATAGACGAGAGCAACAGGTTTCTAGAGAGAATCATAGAATTGTAGGACTGGAAGGGACCTCGAGAGGTCATCTAGTCCAGTCCCCTGCACTCACGGCAAGACTAAGTATTATGTAGACCATCCCCGACTATCCTGCTTTTAAAAATCTCCAATGATGGAGATTCCACAACCTCCCTGGGCAATTGCTTAACCACCCTGACAATTAGGAAGTTTTTCCTAACGTCCAACCTAAACTGCCCTTACTGCAATTTAATCAGCATCTGGCATCTAGAGAGAAAGGGCCACTCACTGATGGGGTCTTTGTATGATTTTCAGGAATTGGCACAAATGCAAAGACAGATCAGTGACACCAGCGTTATCTTGTCTATGGACAACAACCGAGCCCTGGACCTGGATGGAATCATTGCTGAGGTGAAGGCTCACTATGAAGACATGGCTAACAGGAGCCGAGCTGAAGCCAACTCCATGTACCAAGGCAAGGTGAGTCCTTGTGTGGCTTCAAGGTATGGAGCCATACAATGCTCGTGGCTTTGCCACATGGAAAAGAGTCAACCAGATCTTCTGTGCACCTATTCTGTGGATAAAATAGAGTTTTCCAATTCAGCGCAACATATGTGAACTAAATATAATTAACACAGTGTTTATAGTAGTGATATCTTGTCACATTGATTCTTCTGACTTCTTAGTAACATCTGAAAATCTACCTATGGCCCCCACCAGCATAGTATCTGAATGCCTCATGTATTTATCCTCACCACACCCCTGTGCGGCAGGTATTATTCCCATTGTACAGATGGGAAAACTTAGGCACAGAGTGACTTGCCCAAGGTCTCTCAAAGTCTGTGGTAAACCATGGAATTGAGCTATGGTTTCTCCAGTCCCAGGATAGCACCCTAACCACCGAGCTAAGGAATAAAGAATATAACGCACGAATCAGAGAGGTACCTGTCACTTTAATTAAGGATGCTGGGAAATATATCCATCTCCCATTGATTGGTTAATCCCCCAAAATCATGATAAAGCAGGTGTGGAGCAGATGTAGCTCCTATTTGCTTCTCAGAATTAGCCCTGATCAGGTTAGATCTGCCTTCGGAAAATACAGTCTATTACAGTTATTTTTTTTTCTGGCCATCAGTTTCAGGAGCTTCAGGTCACTGCTGGGAAACAGGACAATGATCTGAAAAACTCCAAGCTGGAGATCTCGGAGCTGACCCGGCTGATCCACAGACTGCAGGCTGAACTTGAAAATGTGAAAAACCAGGTAGAGCACATCTGATAAATAGAAAACTATGGACCCTGGACACTAGGGCAACCGTGGCAGACTGCCAGATGTGCTTTTCTCGTCCTGAATACCGCCACGGTGCCTGCAATGATGCTAAAAACAAGGAGGTTGTTTCTGCTTAATGTAAAACAAACGTGTTCACCCTGAACTAAAGCTGGGGGAAAAATGTCATCCAAAATTCAGTCAGCATCGACACAAAATGTTTCAATGTGGAGAACCGAAATGTGATCTAAAGTGAAGTTTTGTCTTTGACTTTTCTGATTTGCTGAAAAATTTGATACATTTTGTTTTCGGTTCAACACAAAACCATTTCTTCTCTATTTTTTTGTAACCAAAATATCTTTCATCCACACAGCTCTGCTATGAACCCTGGCCGCTAGTAAAAAGTGACAGATGTGCTCTTCTTGTCCTGAATACTGCCATGGTGCCCATAGTGATGCCAAAGATGACAGGAGAGGCCCTACAATGTGAAAGAAAGGAGTTAGTCCCAGGGCAAATCAAGTCTCATCCACATATTTCATGATTTCCCAGAAGAATAGTAAAAAAGTGCCTATGGAATTTAACATCTGTATATGATATTGTGAGGCATTATACACAATTGCCTTGATCTAATTCAGTTACCATAAAGACCAAGAAGGAATGAAATTTCTTTCTTTCTTTCTTTCTTTCTTTCTTTCTTTCTTTCTTTCTTTCTTTCTTTCTTTCTCATCCACCGAGTTCATTTCTCTTTCCATCTAATGCCTCTTTCCTTCCGTCCATCTATCTATCACATTTATAGTGTGTCGTTCACCATAGTATCTAGGTACTAGTTCTGGTCTACATGGAGTAGAGATGATCCAAAGGCCTGATGATAAAGAGCTCATTTAAACGTCTTAAGGCCTGGTTAAAAAGTCTGCTGAAGTCAATGGGAAGATGCTCATTGATGGCCATGGGGCTCCAGATGAGGCATTGAGAATGGATGACCACATGGTTAGCTTGCTTTCTTCTTTTCTTTGCAGTGTGCCAAACTGCAGTCGGCTTTTGCTGAGACAGAGGCACGTGGGGAGCTTACCCTCAAGGACGCTAGGGAAAAGCTGGTTGAATTGGAAATGGCCCTGCAGAAAGCTAAGGAGGAGATGGCTCGTTCGCTGCGTGATTATCAGGAGCTCTTGAATATCAAGCTGGCCCTGGATATTGAGATTGCCATGTACAAGACACTGTTGGAGGGAGAAGAATGCAGGTGGGTGCAATATATCTATGGGTCCTGACTTTTGCAAAGCAGCCTCTGTTATTGTTGGTGTACACTTTTTTTGCCCACAAATAAGCATGCTCGCAGGTTTCTGCTGGCTGATTCCACAAAACTGAAATATTTCACAGGGTTCTATCAGTTTCATCGACATTTTCACAGGAAATAATCGCAACATTTTGTTTCGACTTTAACGTATTTGAAATGATAAAGTCGAAACACATTTCAGTAGGTTCAACACTGTCTGCAGAATGTTTCATTTAACCAAAAATCCAGAGGTTTTGACTTTTCGTCCCTTTTGGGATGAATCCAAATTTTAGAATCTCCCACGAGATGGAAATTCTGAATTTTGACCAGCTCTATCCTACAGGTGATTAGATGGAGATCCAGTGGCTGGGGAAACTCTGAGCTTGGAGGGCTGAATAACCCTCTTCCAACCACTGCTCTCCCACAGTGCGACCACACCCTGGTAGTCTGCAGTGAGCTGTGCTTGCTGGTATATAAGAGGTGTCCAAACCTTCTGGGAGGCACCCAAAACTTGCTCCACACCAGCTTTAAGGACCGTCTGACCTCATTGAAATGTAGAGCTAGGAGCTACACTGCACCCTTTCGAAAGCACATGCCTTGTCTACTATTGGGAAGGAAATTCTACAGCCACTTGGCTCCCCTTGACTTCAGGTTTCAGGGTGTGTCCTAACTTCTAGCAGCCAGGCTAAATCAATGACCTAAATGGTGTTTCTTTCCACAACAGGATGTCTGGAGAGTGTGGCAGTGCCGTGAACATCTGTAAGTAACCCGAGCATCTGTTTACTAAAGATAGGAACAGGCAAACTGGAGGCCTCTGTTCTCCTCCCCCCGACCACCACTCAGCACAAGACAGAGTGGGAACCGGCTTCCTGGTGGTTATCACTAGCCCTGGCTCTAATGATGCTTAGAGCAGCCCAGTAGCTGCTCTAAGTTGCACCATTAGTGTACGGTTCTTAATAAGCCCAGTGCCAGTGGAGGGTTGGCAGCATCGAACTATACTCTACCACACCCCCTTTTACAGCCAATATGCCGCCTTCCCTCCCCTGACATGCTTCTCATGCCACGCAGGGGATGAGCAGTGGTATCAACGCAAACGCAAGACTTCTCACTTGTGCGTTTGCACCCGGATTAAAGACCCTTTGCACTACCTGAGTGATGCATAGAGGCCCTAACTAGAGCTGTTTGGAAAATGTTTTTTTTCCTCCCCATGGAAATTTTTTTTTTTTTGGCAAAAATTTGAACCCCACTATACCTTGATTTGGAAATACTGTTGGGACACCTCATGGGTGTTGGAGGACAGGTGTTTCATGAGCCAGGCTCCCTGGTCATCCCAGGAAGCCACCAAAAAGGGGGTAGAGTGTGGATCATGACCCACTAAGCTAGTTCGTGACACGCTGCAGCTGGAATAACTTGAACATCTCGGTCTTTTGCAGCGGTAGTCAGCAGCAGCTCCGGAGGCGGGAGTGGGATAAGCTGGGGAGGAGGAGGAGGCAGGCTCAGTGTCAGAGGAGGCGGGATCAGTGTCGGAGGAGGCGGCTCCAGCTCTGGAAGCAGAAGAGGCATTGGAGGATACAGCTATGGAGGCAGGGGAGGTAGTTCCTGTGTGAAAATCATATCGACGACCTCTTCAAGCAAAAGAACCACCATATGCTAAAGCCTAGGAATTGTAGTCACTATCACCTGAGTGACAGATTTCCTTTATTGTGATGTAGTGGGCAGAGCACTGGACTGGGACTCAGAAGATCGTGGTTCTATTCCCAGCTCTCCCACTTCTTCCCTGAGTGACCTTGGACAGGGCTCTGTGCCTCACTTTCCCCATCTGTAACGTAGGGATAATGATACTGACCTCTTCTGTAAAGCGCTTTGAGATCCACTGATGAAAAACACTGTATATGAGGTAGGTATTATTATTGTTGAGAACAAATATCCACATGCTCACACCCAACACTATCACTGAAAAAGTGACTGGCAACATCACAGTAACGCAACTGACGTGACCAGAGATTTTGTTTCTTGTGAATTTCCCTCCCAGCAAAATTTTACCAAAAAGATCTTGAGCCTGAAGATAATTCATTTCCCACCCACCATCTCTACTGCGCTTTGTATCCAACTTCCTGTATACTACACTAGAAAAATCCCATTCATTTCTGCAGTCTGGATGCTATCATGGATTGTAGCTTGCTCTCTGCATTGTGTGTTCCCACTGTTCTTGTTGTAGCTATGAAAGATACATTTTCTGTGCTGTTCTTCTAAGCCAGGGCCTTCAAATGGGGCTAAAGGACTCAGGCATCTGACTCCCATTGACTTTCTATGGCAGTGTGTACATCTTTAGGATCCTTTGAAAGTCACAGAGTTAGTCCCATAACCTCCTCTGAGTTTCCTTGCATTGGATACCTTAATCCCAATGGGCCAAAATTCTGGTGCGGGTCCATTGAAAATGAAGGAATAACTAGGGCGGGGCAAATAATCGATTTTTCGGTTTGGGTGTCAACTGAAAAATTTGGAAAAAAACCAGTTTCATACTGAATAAAGTTTCATTCAATCTGAAACAAAAACATATTCAGTTTTGAGTTGCATTTTGTTTCATTTTCATGGGGTTTTCAACATAGCTAAATGTTCTTTTTTTTCCAATTTACAGTTACGTTAATCACTGAGCGAAACGCCGTTCCTAAACGGAAAGTCAAAACATTTCATTTCGGCAATTCCAACTCTTTTTCTTTTTCAGCTGAAGCTATTTGCTGAAAATGACCCAAATTCACAAATAGTTTTGATCAACCCAATTTTTCAGCGAAAAAAGGATTCACCTAAAAATTTTCACCTAGCTTTAGGTGTAACAAAGAGGAGAATTTGGCGCACTCTCTGGCTCAGCAGGGTAACCCCTTGTACTCCTTGCTCTGAGAGAGGTATGAAACATTACAGCTAATAAACAAGATGCATTCCTTTCTTAGGGACAAATCTCGGAAGTTCCAACTCATCTGTTGGCCTGGACGCCACTCAAAAGTTGTACCACTTTCACTTCACTAGTACACTTAGTGCTATAGTGTGGATGCGGTTATACTATTAAAAAAACAGTTTATGCCTATATAGCTTATTCCTGTACAGGAAGAGCAATAAGTTATACTGGTAGAAAAACAATGAGTACAAATTTTTGTTAGTCTTTGAGGTGCCACCGGACTCCTCGTTGTTTTTGTGGATACAGACTAACACGGCTACCCCCTGATACTATATGGTAGAAGCACTCTTATATGACTGTCCACATTATGGGTTGTACCAGCATAACTATTTTGGCAAAAACATCCCCCCAACTGAAATAGTTCTTAGTACGCAATCTCTGTGTATACCAGGCCTTAAAACTCCCAGGGAAGTCAATAGGAGTCTCGCTTGAATAAGGACTCGGGCCTTGTCTACACTATAGCCTTCTGCCAACATAGCTGTGTTGGTCTCCAAGGCGTGATCCCTGATCAGTACCACTTTGCCACCAGGATCCCCTATTGTAGACACATTTACACTGGCAAAATTGTTTTGCTTAGGGAGGGTGGAATACATTATACAAAAAGCACAGCTTTGCGAGTGTAGTATACGGATACTCTTATTCTGCTAGGTTTCAGAGGAACAGCCGTGTTAGTCTGTATTCGCAAAAAGAAAGGGGTTCTGGGGCGCCTTTTAGCTACTAGCCAATTATGTGAGCGAGCTTTCGCCACAAACGCTCACTCCATCAAAGCTGTGGCACAGAAAATTTATTCTGCTAGTGCACTCCAGCTATAGCCGTGGCCTTTGCAAAAGTTTTCGGCTCTTAATTTCTAGCAAGAGAACTTCTGTATGTTTATCTTCATATTCCACGCCCCCAAAGTGTCTTTGATTCAAAGGGAGCTCAAGAAAATCCTCTGGCTTCAGGAAAGGTCCTCACTGGACAAACCAGCCAGGAGGATGCACTCTGTCTGTATGTGGTTTCTGTATGTTGCGTGCGTACTGGGTGGCAAGGGTCACCTCCGTGCTGATGTGCACTGTTGAACATTCCATGCTTCCTGGTGTATCTCCAATAAACTGCGGCTGTCAGTCAGGGTTCAGAGCGTGAGAGAGCTTGAGTGGGTGGGTCATCTGAGGCCAAACCCTCAGCAGGTGTACACTGAGGATCTGACCCATATGGTTACTGGCTTTATATCAGTTGTACACGGCTGCGAAAGAAATCAGCCCAATTACATGCGGTGCTAATCAGCTTTAGCTCTTTTGATGGCATTGGAGCTCTACAAACTCCAATCATTCAAAGATCACGAGATTTCAAACAAAAAAACCCCTCCATATTTTTTCCCCCTCCCCTGCCTTTCAGTGTTGGAAGATACAGGTGGGTCACATTTTTCAAGCTTTAACTTACTCTCTGGTTTCCAGGGATCTTGGAAAGGAAATAATGACCATAGCACAGTGTGCTTTGGATACACAGTGGAAGATGAGAGCAGGAAAAACTGTAGAGCTTAACCGGATGGGGAGGCCCCTAGCAAGAGTGGGTTTTCAGCTGGGCTGGATCTGCCTGCTTTAATGCCACTTTACATGGCTGGACAAGCATCACAGGGCCCAGTGGAGGAGGAATTGTATAAAACAGCTGACAATGAGAGGAGAATCAAACCTAAAACAGAGAGATGTGTTAGAGGGATTTCCCTTCACCCCCACCCCTGGTTCTTGTCATGCAGACCGAAAGCAGAAGACCAGAAGTCTGAAGGGCGGGCAATGTGATGTTTATTGGGATTAGTTCCAAGCAAGCATATTCATAGCTCTACATGCCGGCAGAGTCTGTTCCCCAGTTTTTCGTTCCCAGCTCTGATGCCGCAGAGCATTTACCCCATGTCCCCCTTCCCAGCTCTGATGCTGCAGAGCGTTGCCTGTGTCCCTATTTCCCCCTCCCCATTTCCCACCTCCTCCTCCTTAACAGGCCCAAATATACCTGCAACGCATGCCCTTGGTCGCACGCCTTACGACTTATGGTCATGTTCTGTTTTGGAGGGTCATGGGTCTGGGGTCTTCGTTCCCCCTCCCACACTTTTTTGTATTTTTATGGGAGGGCTGAGATTATGTTCTGGACAAAGACAGGCCTTTCTTTGGCTTTTAGTGTATCTTATGCCTTCCCCCCAGCCCCCTTCCCCTTCCAACTGGTTCCTGATCTTGGCTTGAGAGAAGAGCCAGGCGGCATTCCAGTGTATGCTCATATATTACTCTCCCACCATACCCTGTAACACTTTCACTGCTCTCTCCCTTATCTCTTCCTGTTGTACTAAAAGCCCCCTCTGGTTGTAGAAAATGCAGCACACAGTGTCTTTGTTCATTGTTCTTCACACATATTAGCATGAGATATAAGAGTATCAAAAAGTCTAACCCCAAATTCTGTCTCAGGCTGACAAACAAGCCTATATACTAACAAGATGTCCCCCACCCCGCCGCTTGGACTAATGACTTTAATTAAAGCTCCTGTTTGTTTATTACCTCTGGTCAGGAGAGAACATCAGCCAGCAAGACCTAAAACGCTGCTCTCCAGGCTTGTAGCTAGCCGACGGCCATTTTCAGCTACGCGGCGTTGCTCGATTTTCCTTTTGCTGTGCGTCTGCCCGTGCTCCTACAAGGGTGCAGTTGCTGCCTACGTTAACAAAACACCACTGCAAGGCCAGGGTGGGAGCTGCTGGGTGCTAAGATTAATTTCCTGACATTTCTTTATCAAGGGGTAAGGGGCCTGCTTCATTTTGCCAGCTAGCGAGAAGAAGGGCCTGAGACAGTTTTAGCCTCGGAAGGCTGGCCGCAGTCAGAGTCCCAGTCCCAGGATTTGGATTGTACTAACAGCCTGTAGCAGGGTGGCTACCCCGCTCCGGGGATAGGAGGAGTGAGAGCAGCTGAGGGAGGCTGGCCACAGGTGTGGCCAGCTCAATCAGGGCACAGCTGCCCCTGATAAGAGGACTGTGAGTAAGGAGCTGAGAGAGTCTCACTCCAAGGCCGGAGTGAAAAGGACCTAGCTACCTGAGAGAGACAGGGTAGCTTCGGCAGAGGAGTGCTGGGGAAGGGGTAGGCTGAGCTGAGGAGCCCAGGCCTGGCTACCCCTCAGGCTGAGACCTGGTAGGAAGGCCTAAGGAGGTGCTGGGACTGCAGGGAGACAGCTGGGCTAGAAGGCAGCAGGTCCAACCCCCTTGCAAATGATGAGTGGCCATTACATACTACAGTTTGCCCCAGAGGAGGGGGGCTAGACAATGACTGGCAATAGCTGCTGAGGCAATGTGGGCATAGGGATTGGGGGTTCCCCTGGGAGGGGAGACCCAGAATGCGGGGGCATTGTTGTGAGCAGTGCCCCAAGGAAAGGGGCACCGGGGTCTGGGATGGACACGGGGCCAGAGGTGGTGGAGATGAGGAAGCAGGTACCAACAGGGAGAAACCAGCCAGCAGGAGGCGCTCTGAGGCTGGAAAGAGCTAATTCTTGGACTGACCAGCAGGTGGCGCTGCACTGGTGAGTCCACGGTCTGCTGCACAGCCATGTCTATTTTAATAGCTTTTAAAAGCCAGAAGGGACTGTTAATAACTTCTAATCTGATCTTGAGTATAACACAAGGCGGAGAATATCATGCCGCCTTCCTGCCACCCATACTAGAAACACTGCTATACAGAGTTGCAACGACCATACCCCCATCATAAGCTGAGCTTTGAAGCAGCAGCAGCCCAAGCTGCTACCAGGAGAACTACAGGGAAAGCAATTCTATTTCTGCTAGGTCTGGCCTGGGATTTGAACCCAGGACCGCTAGCATTCTAAACTCTCCCTCTAGGGGCCGCCTGGCTGATTAAAGCATCAGGCTTGTCAATGGGGGGTCTGTAAAGTCCACACCATTATACTACTGCTGTGGTATGTACTTGGCAACTTGGACTTGATGAGAGCCTAATCTGGACAGATATTCAGGGGTCCATGCTCCATGGACAGGGTAACACATGAATGTCAAGGAACATGCAAGTTGCTACTGGCACCCATCACTCCAACGCCACACAAGGAAGCAAGCAGGCATAAGAAATACCATGTTGCTGAGCCATACACCTAGGAGTACAGTACAGTAGAATGGCAGGTACATTGCCAGGGTTGAGCATGCTGCAAGCATGGAAGATGCTCACACCTGTGGGACAGCTTCCTGAGCCTTGTCGTATAGCCATGCAAAATCTGCTAGTGTCAGTGGTCAGGAAGATGTCCAGCACTAAATGCAACACCTGTGACTGGTTGGCTAGGCTCCAAAAATGCTGTTCTGATGTGCATATAAAATAACCATGCTACCAGTTTTTGCAAACAGCTCGACGCTGCCTGTTGCTGGGAAACAGCATTGTTGCAATTCCTATTGCTCTCTTGAGTTTTGAACCAAGCTCTTGCATGAAAGCACAAGTTAGGTCAGCCCCTTGCACTTTCCTCGCCATTCCCAGGGTTTGTGCCAAATCCCAGCTCTCATTTAACCACTGGCAAAACTCCCGGTGGCTTCACTCAGGGCTTGGCAGCCAAACATGCATCCACTGGAGTCAGTGGTGAAACTCACGTCAGCTTACATGGGAGAAGAGTCATGCCTTTGGCCTTTTGTACGTGGAAATGTGTGGGCTCTGTAAAGTAACAGTGTCGGATTCCCCACCACCTTTGCCCCTTGTGCAGTCATTTTCACATGCACTATATCAAAAAGGGAGAGATCTGACACGGACTTTATGCTCACTTAGTGTGCACAGGTGAAACTGACGATGCAGCGTGCAAGGCACTGGACAATTAGGCTTAAATGAATTCACTTGGGTTACTGCAGATTTGCTGTGGGGTAATTGAGATCAGAATCAGGCCCTTGTTCCAACCTCACTTTCAAACAGCGCCTCAGCTGGTGTAAATGAGCGTGTCTCCATTTACATCAGTGAAGCGATGTTGATTTACATCAGTGGGGGATCTGACCCAACAAACGTTTGTGCTCTGGGGGAAGAGGAAATGTAATATTAGCTGTGCGATGTATTATAAATAAACATCAATATCGTTCAGTCATACTCAAGAGCCTTAATACCCTCTTGCCATGACACGCGCTCTTGCAAGGAAGGAAATGCTTCACGGAGGCCAAAGCTCATTATTAGTTTCCTAAGTATAAGGCTCCTGACAAAACACCAGAAGGGGGCCGTCTTTATTTATAGCAGGAAAACACAGTGCTTGTGAAATGTACCATATTGACTTAGCTTTCGGAAATGCTGAGCAATTGGAGCTCCCGTTGCTTTTGGCTGGAGCTGTGGATGCTCAGTAGACCCTGCTCTTTGCAGAAGAAAGGCTCAGTGGTTCACTTGTAGCACAGGCAAAATTCCCAGTGAACAGAAATTGGACTTTACCTATCAGTCAGGAGAGCTGGGATAGGTCCAGAGCTGGTAGGACATGGGTAACTAGCAGTGCAGGTTGTTTGGCCAGTGTATTATTATTTATTTGTCTTAGTGTAATGCTTACGAGCCCCAGTCATGGAACAGAACCCTATTGTGTTAGGTGCTGTACAAGCACTTAACAAAAAGACAGTCCCTGCCCCAAGGAACTTACAATTGAAGTATAAGACGAGAGACAACAGATGGGTACGGACAGATGGGGGAGTGTAAGGAAACAGTGAGACAATCTTGGCGATAGGCACTGGTCACAATACAACAGCAGCCTCTGGCGGGGATGAAATCTGAGTAAAGTGAGAGTGAACTTCAAGGAATTCATAGAGCCAGATCCAGCAGCTGCACCGATATCCACTATTTGAGGAGCTGGGTGAAATTTTCAAGAGCACCTACATGATTTAAGATCCACTGATTTTCAATGACACTTAGGCTCCTAAGTGCCTATGTCACTTAGAATAGATAGATAGATATTACTAATCGCCTTCTTTACATTGTACCCTAAACACCTTCGGGAATCCGGGCCTAAGCCCCTTAAAGTTGTAATATAAAACTGATTTAAGTGGGAGCTGAATGTGGCCATAAAACTTCTAGTTGCTAACGGAGAGAAGGAGATGTCCCAAACATGCAGCTTTGAAGTAAAATGTTGCAGAGCATTCACACTAATAATTAAAAACCTTGTAGATTCCTTTTAATTATTTTGCATTAATGTGTTCTGTGCG